CTCACCGGCACAAAATTCGATCCATAATTTTTATTTAATTTTTCTCAACTAATTCTTGTTCTACAAGGCAGCAATTTTTTGAGAACTTTAAATTACACATTTTAAAACAAGTATAAACAAAAACCAGCTTAAATTAAATAACATTTTTTTTATTTTTTCAATAACAAAAAAAAATGCAAAATTTTACGAAAACATTAAATTCTGAATTAATACCTAATAAAGACCTAAACTGAACTTTAATATTGTATGTTGCCTCTCCTTGCACGAATTACAGCTGCCATTGTTCTTGGCATTCCTTCAATAAGATTTTCAATCGCTCTTTAGTCAATTTCTTCCCAAATTTGGGTTACTGCCACACTTAGCTCTCTAAAATTTACAGGAGCAGGAACTCTGCGTCGAACCTTTCTTCCCACCATGTCCCAAATGTGTTCAATAGGATTTAGGTCAGGACTTCGCGCTGGCCATCTCATACGTTCGATTTCAACCTCATCTAGGTATGTGTTCACGTTGCGAGCAGTGTAAGCACGTGCATTATCGTGTATAAAAATGAAATTTTCACCAATAAATGGTATATAAGGCACAACATAGGGTTCCAGAATGTCTCTGATGTACCTATCAGCAGTCATTGTTCCTCTGTCTACAATGACTAATTCGGTACGAGCTTCCAAACTAATGCCACCCCAGACTATAATAGAGCCACCTCCAAAATTCAGCCTTGCACTGTGCAAATCTTTCTTCTGATCGTCGCCAAACTCTTTGTCGTCCATCTGGAGAATGAAGACCAAACCTCGACTCATTAGAGCAAAGAACTCGGCTCCAATCAGCAACACCTCAATGCTCATGTTCATGAGCAAAACGTAGTCGCTCGACTCGATGTTCTCTGGTTAATTTGGGGCCATTTGCTGGTCTCTTTGCAACTAATCCTTCTTTCTTGAGTTTTCTTCTTACTGTTCTTTTGCTTATTGTCACACGTCTTACCTCTTCTAACAAGTTACGATCACGAACAGCTGTTGTGTCCCTATTTCTCAATACTTGCAGTGTAAGAAAATGATCATCTCGAGCTGTGGTACATCGCTTTCTTRCTGAACCAACTCTCCTAGTGTAGCCCCTAGTTTCGCGAAACCGTTCTAGAGCTCTCTGCACCTTACACCTCGAAACTCCAAGAACTCGAGCTGCGTAATATTGCAATCTACCATCTTAAACTAGTTTTGCCCTAGCCGCTTCCTTTGGATTTAACACCATATATACTTTTAGAAGGCTAAATTACTTTTATGCTCTGCAAAAAATGACAAGAATAATGCCAAAGGYTATTAAAATAGGTATCACGATAAAAGAAGATTGGAAAAAAAAGTTAAAAAAATCCTCAAAATTTTATCGCGTGCTCATTTTTGTGTTTGTTGGTTTTAACAATAGTTAGAAATATATCTTATTTCTGTTTAAAAGTTCTCTGACCAAAAGAAAAAAAATAGAAAACGTTTTCGAGAAAATAAAGTATGGATCGAATTTTATGTCGGTGAGTGTATTATAGTTTTTGACATATGTCAATTTTTTTGTCAAAATTTTCACTTGCAGGGGTTCATTCAAAACATCACAGCTCTTGAACCCTTTGCGATAAGTGAATATTTTTTTTTGCATTCGAAAACCTAAGGTTCGAATTTTCAAAATTGTCGACTGTCAAATTGCAAGGCTAGTATGATTTTTTGAAAATGTTTATTAACAAACAGCTATAACTCAGTTTTTCCAAATGAAATGACTTTTTTTTGTCAACGGCAGTCAAAAGTAAATCAATTTGTAGAAGGACTTTTATGAATATGTCCTATACCTATCTCTTACAGTTTTTGAAATAATCACAAAAAACATGTTAATGTTTTTATTTTTATAGTTAATCACGTAGGCTTTGGAAAAATACAATAAGATATGCCATAATTAATACAGATGTTCGATATGTTTACCATTTTCAAACAGTCCAAAACTCGATGGTGAACTGATTTGAGTGGCTTCCATTATTTCATTTGGTTGACAATTATTAAATGCCGTCTCAATTCTTGCCTCAATTCTTCGTAATTCCGGATGGGTGTTGTGTAACCTAATAAATCCTTAATACGTCTTGATCAGTTTCCAAAGCCTACGTGATTTACTATAAAAATAAAAAATAAAAACACGTTTTTTTCGTCATTATTTCAGAAACTGTAAGAGATGGATATAGGAAATGTTGATAAAGGTCCTTCTACAAATCGATGTACTTTCGATTGCCGTTGAAAAAATGGGGTCATTTTATTTCAAAAAAACTGAGTTATAGCTGTTTGTTAAATATCATTTTCAAAAAATCATATAAGTTTTGCAATTTGACTGTTAACAATTTTGAAAATTTTAGAAAACTCTTCGAATCTTTGCTTATCAAATGCAAGAAAAATTATTTACCTATCGCAAACGGTTCAAGAGCTGTGATGTTTTTAATAAACCTCTGTAAATAAAAATTTTGAGCAAAAAATTGACATATGTCAAAAACTATGACCGATAAGTACTAACAACAAGGTATGTACGTTTTACTCAGTTTGGAGAGGAGAATTCAAAAATGCAATCAAAATAAGTGGTTACCATTTAAAATTTCAAAGTTGGCGTCAATTTCTCCTAGTTTCGGAAGTTCAGCCATTTTGAAAATAATTTAATTGAACTTAGACTGGTCGATTTGAGTTATGTACAAAATTTCACATTTCTATCTACATTAGAAGTTAAAAAGTTTCTAATATAGGCCCTAAAAGAATCACCTTGTATAATAAAAAAACATAAAATATAAAAAACATTTCAATATTTTTTTAGAAAAAATCATTATTATTGAATTATTAAAGCCTTTTTTTGGCTATTGCAGGCCGTCCTCTCTCCCTTCTCTAGCCCAAGAGGTACACTTTTCGTTTCAATGGGCACCTTGCTTGTCCCAAAATGACTAACGTACTTAAAGAATGTTTGCATGTGTACTGTTTCAAAAAACTTGCGCTAGGGCACCGAGACATCATCTTACCATTTTCCGAAATACAAGTTATTTTTATAACTTTCTAGGCTTTGAGAAAATTATCGAAACATTCCCATTTCTAATAGGTATCCTTCCAGAGTTGCACTTCTTCTTGAGTCAAGACTTCAGCAGCACTCGTTGATTTTGTATAAAAGATGTTTTTTTCATGTTCTTTTTCTTCAAACATTTTCGGTTTGACTTTCACCCATTGATAAGCATCAGTCCAATTTTTTGTTGTTAATTTTATGCTTGAAGCAAATGACTTGTGATTAGGGTTTTCTGGATTACGTTTATATGACCATTTTTCGACCAAAGAATTTCTCAAAGCTTCCATAAACTGACCCACTGGAAGCTGCTCTTTCTCAGAGTATGTTCTTTTTTTATTATGGAATTTGTTGATTCCAGGCCATTGTTAGTGCTTGGAAATTCATCACACGCATCTTCATACCAGAATCGATGCATTCCGAGCCATGTCTTTTCAAAACATGAATGAAGCATTGAAGTCTTCTAGCTGGTGGTCTAAATACTGCATTAAATCCGTTTGTGATTGCCATACTTGCATCTGCAAGCAATACATTTGGTTCCCAAACAGTTAAATGTAGTTTTAAACACGACTCTTTCATTGCATTAAATATAAATGCAAAATCAACTTCTATTTCATTATAACAGACTGGGTGAAATACTCTACATAAGTCGTTCCGACGACTAGGACAGGATAACCCTGCCAAACCAATTTGTATGTGGCATCGGCTTGGATTTTCTTGGTAAGTGTAAGAATTTGGAGAAGTCTTTTGGTGGACAAAACATTTTTTCAAATCGTCGTTACCTAAGCCTGTGTTATCAACTGCTAATTTAAAATCTAACATTGAGTAAGGTGCATTTAAACATTAAGCTAATCACTATGAAATGATCTATTTACCTAAACCAAATGACTGATCCAAATTATTTAGAATTATGTTGTGTTACTACACCAGTTGTGCAATTCTCCTGCAGAAATAGTGTATGATCCAAGAATTTGAGCGTAATGAAGTTAGAAATGTTTTGAGCTGTGATTTCACAGGTGCTTGCTGATTTCGGCTGTGCAAAGCTGCAATGATGATGATGACTACCAGGGCACTTAATTTTTGAACAATTAAGCCGACCTTGGTGATCTGTCGATCGATGTCGAGATTCACGAATTAGTAAATTTTTTTGGCGACTTACCCAATTCCCAATTACTAGTATCACGACGTAGGGGTAGACCGTTCTCGCAGGGGATGAGGGTACCGCTTTTTTGGCACTAATGGCACTTACGAGAGATAAAAAGAATCTGGTTACGATGTTAGACTAAAACCCTCGAAGTCTTGAAGTCAACTTGTTTCTTAACTCGAACTCTCTGGTCCATCTACCCGTGACCCTTATGGGAATGGAGGGGGTGTCACCAAACGGTAGGGACCAATTCGTGAATCGAGTTAACCGCAATTCTCGTGAAATTTTGATTTTGGTCGTGCAACCATCTTAAGATTATTTATTACTATTCTAAAAATTATACAATAAGTACTATGTACACAACAGATGGCATTGGGCTTTTTTAATTCCGTCATTTTACAGGGTGCGCCAGAACTCGCGCCCCAGAGAAAAATGTCAAATGCCGGCGGCAACGGGTCGCCAAAAAGTGCAGCTGAAGAAGTAACTTTTGCTTGCATAAGAAACTTGAGAGACTCTTAATTCCACCAATCCCTAAAGGGCACCTCAGGGTGTGATTGGAAAATTATATCCGTTGCTAGGTTACAAAAATAATACCAATTTACCCAGAATTTTAAAAAATAGCTGGATTACTGTAATTGTCTGTCATGTTTTTGACATAACATACTATTTTCGAATATTTTTCTCGCTGAAGATGCTGTGCACAAGTATAATGAGACGAAATCGTTGAAAATTTTTGAAAACTCGATTTCCATTGCGATGAACCAACAACTATTTTAATACTTTTGGATGTTTTCTTCAGAAGCATTGTTCCTCCTTAACTTTTTCTTCGATATGACACAGACAACAAGCCGAAAACTAATGCGAGTTAGATTAACCAGAAAGACAAAAATGTACGCCAGTTTCTTTACTTTATTGCAAAACTAACAGAAAAATGTACTTTTTATGAGAATTTGTGCTTGAACAAAACATGTTAGGATAATTTTTACTCTCATAATTGTAGATTTACCAAGGTATTTTTGTTCGGTAGTGTAATTGTAATCTAAAAAACACATTGCACTAAGACCCCTTGCTTTCTTTTTCATTAAACGATTCACAAGGGTATTGCAATATTGATACTGAAATTAAACAGTCCACAAATTTACTGAAAATCATTGCTGAAATGCTCCCGGAAAAAAAGCATTTGGAATATTTTCAGTCAGTCCACAAATTTACTGAAAATCATTGCTGAAATGCCCTCGGAAACAAAGCATTTAAAATTTCCTCTGTCCTAATACGAGTATGTCAGTTATAATGACTACAACTTCTCTGATGCATCTACTTAGTGCTATCTTAAAAAATCAAGAAAAGCTTTCTCATTTTCAACTATGCGCGCCGTTCTGAGAACATCTCTAATTTCTTTTCGGTTTGGAAGAACTTGACCCTGGCAATGGCCTTCAATGTGACCTTATAGCATGGGCGATTTTTGTCAGGAAAACGTCCGGAAAATATCCTAGCTGCCTTCCTGGCGTTACGCCAACACTTCCCAAAAATGGTTATTATCTCCAAATAATCAGCGGCTAATTACATGGTTAAAACTTAAACCACACAATTGACATCTAACACAAATTCAAACCATTACACTCGTGTACAACCTCTTCGGGGAGAAAAATATTCCAAAATAGCGTGTTATGTCAGCACAGGACAGATGTGAAAATTACAGTAGACCAACTATTTATTGAAGATTCTAGGCAAATTGGTATTATTATTGCAGTGGTAAACAGAAGAATGAAAGTTCTTGGAAAAGGCAAAGGTTTAGGGTATGTATGGATCGACTTGGAGGGATGTATCATTTGCAGTTGTTACATCTCTCCAAATGTCGAGGCAAGGTATTTTGAGGACATGCTCTTGGAGCTGACTCAAATGGCAAGTATACACAACGGGAAACCGTTAGTGGTATGTGGGGATTTTAATGCTAAATCACCAGAGTGGGGGGGAGATTTCCAAAACCCCACAGGGCGAATGATGGCAGAATGGGTAGCATCAATGGACTTTGTGGTTCATAATGATGGTGAGAAACCTACGCTAGTGAGGAGAGAAGGTTGCTCGTARATAGATCTCACACTGAGCTCAACTAATGTAGCGAGAAGGATAAAGAGATGGAAAGTCGAAGAGGAAGAAACTCTTAGCGACCACCAATATGTAACATTCGAAATCGAGTCAGACAACAGACGTCGACCTAGGAGAAACATTTCCGCTAGTGTCAGTTCGAGAAATCCGTGCTGGCGGGTAAAGGGTATGAACTTTGAGTCTCTAGGCCGGAGTTTTATGGAAGAAATGCGAGCTAATGAGACACCTAGCTATTTGGACATGGTCGAAGCTATTAAAAAGGCTTGTGACAAAAATTTGCTACGCCGTAAACCGGATGGTGGCTCTAGGAGACGCAGTGTCTACTGGTGGAATAGCGAAATTGCTAAGGCAAGGGTAGAATGCAATCGGGCGCGAAGGAAAGCAATGCGCCTTAATGCGAGACGTAATAGTGTAGAAATGCTGGAGGCAAACAAAATCTACAAAGAAAAACGTAAAGTCTACCGAACACTCATCCGGAAGGCTAAAGAAGTCAAATGGAACGAYCTCCTTGATGACCTTGAAAGGGATCAATGGGGTCTCGGCTACCAGATTGTAACCAAAAAACTGGGCCTGGGAGGTGGACAAGCTGCTCTCAGACCAGCAGACAAGAGACACATAGTGGATGTGCTATTTCCGAAGCACCACACTATGCAGTGGAACATCGCCGGTGACGGCGAAATCGAGTATTTTACTCAAGTTGAGATGAAGCGAGCAGTTGGCAAGCTAAAGCTAGGAAAAGCTCCTGGTCCTGACAACATTCCCGTTGAAGTGATTAGGGCTGTGGCTAATGGAGAGGGTGTACAATAACCTCTTGCATGCAGGAAATTTCCCAAAAGAATGGAAGCAAGCCAGATTGGTATTGCTAACAAAGCCTGGAAAGGAGGGCAGCAGTCCTAGAGACTACTGACCGCTATGTCTTTTGAATGTAGTGGCGAAACTGTTTGAGCAGTTGATACTACTCAAACTGCGCCAAGAAATTGATGAAAGTGGTGGACTGAGCTCAGAACAGTTCGGTTTCCAAGAAGGAAAATCAACACTTGATGCGATAGATAAAGTGATGGAATTTGCCAAAGAGGCCAATTRAGGAAGTACAAAGGCTAAGAAGTGGTACGCCCTTCTTACTTTTGATGTTCGTAATGCATTCAATTCTGCATGTTGGAGACACATAATGGAAGCTCTCAGACAGAGAGGAATTTCCGAGTACCTGAGAAGAGTGATAGGAAGCTATCTTTCTGATAGGAGTATTGACCTAGGAGATGGACAGGTAATACAAGTAACGAGTGGTGTGCCACAGGGTTCGGTGTTGGGCCCGACTTTGTGGAACATACTGTACGATGATGTTCTTCGGCTAGAATTGCCAAAAGAAGCGAAATTGATTGCTTATGCAGATGATCTTGCATTGGTTGTGAAGGAAAAACGTACCCAAGATTTGYTACGACTTGCAGAGTATGTGTCTGATCTTATCGGACAATGGATGAAAACGAAAGGACTAGAAATGGCTCCTGAAAAAACAGAGGTTGTCATGCTAGCTGGCGGGAGACGTCCAGAGAAAGACCTGTCCTTCAAGGTAGAGGGGGTCACTCTGAAACCACAGAAAAAAGTCAAATACTTAGGTGTTGACATAGACCAAAGAATGTCATTCACTCATCARGTGACAAGAGTGGCTATGAAAGCTGAAGCATTAACGGCTACTTTGAGCCGCTTAATGCCAAA